ACTCCACTCTTACAGATCTATAGTACATAGCAAGCAGTACGCTCCAACTGCTTCGTTATTTGCATCCAGATTAACTTTTAAAGCCACGATCAACGGCAATCGCTTGTATGTAGGATCTCAGGAATATGCAAAACTCCATCTTGTCTAGCGAGCTTCCATCATGATATGTGGAATCTGTAGTGCCACTCACCTCTGTCTGCAAAGCAGCGGTCGCATTTTTTCGTCAAAGTGTAACTCTTTTAAGACGCGAAGAAACAAGGAAAATATTATTTCGGACCGTCCGTGAAGTAGCAGCTTTAGGAGCAGATCATTGCCAGCACTCCATATTTGCAAGAATGTTTTCATCAGCGAGTGCATGTCCACTGTAAGTAAGTACATACCTTGAGCGACGCGCAGCATGTACTAAAGCGGAAAATTGCCAATGAGCAAACTCTTGCAGGATCACCCTCAAAAACCTTCGAGCTTGCCCACGTACAAACAGCTGCGATGGCCAACCAGCAGTAAACGGGCGGTTGATTCAAAAGTGTTTTTTTCGTCGCCACCCTTACGGCTTCATTATAATCACACTCTTCCTTGTGCTTTTTTACTGACGAATATGTTAAGTATCCGTAGCGAGGTAGCAAACGGTAATCGTAATTATAATTCAAAGAAGCAACAAGAAAGCATGATTGCTGCCATCGAGTCTTTAACAATGGTGCCACCAATTGCAGCCTTGGTCCAGACTCGCAAAATGGTTTGCCACTCTCAGACGAGTAGAAAGATGCAACCAGGACCACAACTCGTCGCGATGGCCAATGAGGTCTACGATGGCCTCAGTGCCAATGACTCTGCAATTTTCGACGTCCGGACAACGGCTTGCACAACAGCAACTCATGCACGTGCTAGTCGAAGAAGCAGGAGTGACATAAGCATTCGCACCATTGCTATGCTGATGCGTTACATGACCGACACTCTGTGGTTTTGTATCTCGACTGTACACTTCCTTTCGCTTTCTGTGCTAGTTGTAACTCGTATGTGTACGGCCGGCAATATAGCGACCGAAAGGTGCCACCTGTGCGGTTCCACAAACATCACCTAAGAAAAGGTAACTTGTCATGCTGGTCCTGCTCATTCGCTTTTCAAAAAAACATAGGTGGGTGGTCACGCTTCGAGCATCGTTAAGTTGGTAAGGCACGACATCCAAAACCACTTTGGCAGAATTCAATGTCAGCGGTATGAACGTCCAAGCTTTAGATACTTCGTTAAGCTCAAGTCAAATCTCGTTGGACCCCTTGGCAGCAGTAAACGCTACTACTGCATCGACTAAGTCACTAATGATCTCCGTGCTCGCAGACTATGCGGGTTACATCTAGATGCGGGAGCGTGGCGCCTACAAGAGGGCGATTTCGGCTGCCTACCACAACAAAATCTTGCTCGACAACCTTTGCCTGCAGTTGATAACGGCATCATCTTTAAGTGCTAGGAGTGAAAACATGCAACTTCCTCCCATAGTAACTCAACAAATGGACCAATGTGCTTATATGCTTTTTGCACTAGCAGCACTAGCTTGGCAAGATAACTTATAATGCCGTATGAGGATATCGACTTTGCCACATTTGTTAACGTAGGTATTTTATTAGCAAATGCAAACTGAGCCATTTGTCATCAGTGCTGGTCTCTGTTTCCCGCAGAAGATCTAGCACTAAGCCTGATGGGCGACGTCATCCTGGTGACATTTGGTGCAGGTAATTAATATTCGTTATGCGGAGTTCATTGGCGTCAGACTCCTGGTAATCGATTATAGAGACGATAATTGTTAAAGTGTTATCGATACGAATTTTTGGCTGCTTCGTGCTTATGGTGACATACTCCACCTGGCTAAGACATAGCCATCAGTAACGTAGTTGCATATTTAAGGGACCAGGTAGTAGTTTCTACATGTATGAGTCAGAGTTGTCAACTCCTGTTTTCGGGTGACAGCTCGTGCCTGGAGATAATGCGCACACAAATAGTAAACAAGACAATATGTCAAGAGAACGTCAAAGCAATAATCACATTCTACTCTTATCTCTCGTAATGCTACTTCTCTTGCTTTTTCTGCTCGTAAATCTCTCCTGCTGCTCACGGCTATGGTTGAGGTTGTATCGAATGCGATCACATCGCCTTTTATGCATTTGTATATGGCCACTGTCATAATGAAAGCGGCCCCAACGGATTCTCTCAATTAAAGTTCTATGCTGACGCATTTGGCACCTTAAGTGACCCACTTGAATCAATCGGCTCCCCAACTATGGCGTAGTCAACTTCTTTTCCAGCCAGGGAAATTCAGGACAATAGGAAAGACGGGCCTTTATGCAGATGTTCGCAGTCGCACTCGTCTTCGAATATATATCATATACGAGCGGAGGGGGCTTCTTCGCCTCAATGGGTTGGCCGTAACCGTCCAGTCCCGATTTATAATACCAGTCAACAATCGTCGGCATCTCAACCTTCTCGCAATCCCTCTGATGAACAACTGCAGATGGAAGCCATGGGTGGTTCGAGTATGCCATTTTGAATACTTCGTAGGGACTGCAGCCATTAATATTTCTGGGAGAGCCAGCTAACGACGGCGTGCCGTCCTGATCCAGACCCTGAGCTTTAAGCCAGTGATCAAGCAGATCCTTTTCTTCTGGTGACGGCTGTTGACAACTACACATTGGATTCTTCGCATTATTAGGTACAGCTGTCATTACAAACAGATAGAAGTTAGAGCAAGTAAAGTGATAAGAGACAATCTTTGATACTACAGTACGCATCAAGCTTTCAAAATCATAACGCAATAGAATCACGTACTTGGATCAGTCGGAATCGGATGACAGCTTCCAGCAATGGAAGCCACATTCGTAATGCTCGAAATCACATGCGCATTCGTATTCCAATCATCAAAGATCGTCACGTGGAACGGCGTAGGTGTGCAGGATGCCAGAATCGTGTCAGAGCACTGACCTTCCGACAAAGTGACATTGCAACCGTTGATACTAAACAGAAAGCCATTTCCGCTCAAGTTTATGTAGTTTACTGAGACCACGTCCGACCAGCACACGCGCTTGCTACCCACCTTTTCGGAATAACTGGTGCTTTTAAGAGTATCTGAAAAACCAATCATCGTGTTCAGCGTCAAAGGGATCGGTGCATATCCGCGTCCTATACCGTCCATATTTTGACACACCGCGGCGACCGCAGGGATCGCCAAAAGAGAGAGAGCTACACGCATCTAACGTTGATTGAGTGGCAGGAGGCAAATTTGATAATGACTAAGTGAGAAGCCGCTCACTTCCAAAGCTGAAGTGAAATATACTTAAACGCTCATTCTGTACAGTCACGCCACCGAACTCAAAAGAACATCTCCCTACCGCCAATCATTGAGGATACGTAGATATCTATAGGCTTCATGAAAAATGTCTCGCTAAAAAAAAGTGCCATCAGATAGATGATTGTGTGTAAGTGTCGCATGCCCTTTATACATTTGCTTCCTGGGCTATTTCGGCCCATGTTCTTTCCAATATGTTTATTGGTTACTAATTATACCATGGACCAGGCTAGAAATTTCCTACCTGGCTCTCGGACCAGATTAGTACGCTCTTTGATCCTATTTGGTGGAAAGGAATTCGGGTTCAGTATGGCCGTATTTTGTTTAGTCACGAAGCCCCTCGAATATCTTGGATATCAAGTACAGTAAGAGAACTATAAACGAGGAAGTAAATGTATTATTTAACCCCAAACTAATCGTAGCATTAGAAAGAAAAGGGACTTTTAAACGAAAAAGTAAAATGGAAACGTAAATTAGCTCTTATGAAAACCCCTACAAATGTTTCTAGCCAATATTAATGTATGCTTGGAAGAAGCAACTTAGAAAGTTCTTCTTAGGGCTTTTTATTCTTAGCTGCAACAGCTGTCAGTACTTGAATATTGAGCTAATCCTACTGACCTCTCTTCGCGATACAGTAAAAAAACGTCGCAAGCAGCACAACCGCTGATCGCGAAGTTATTTTACTGTAGTATGAATCGGTGATTGTATATAGAACTATTCCTACCGCTCGCGAAGTTAATGCTACAGTAAAATAACTTCGCGAGCAGGTCAGAAAAAAAAGTTACTGAAGAATTTTTAGATTGCCTCTTTCAAGCATCCATTGATTGGCTAGGAACATTTGTAAAGTTTTATAATTTTTTTCGTACTTTTTCGCTCCACATTTCCCTTTGTAATTTATATTATAGAGGTATTGTATACAAAGGTGTCGAGGAAGTAAAATTGTAAAAAGTGTAACGGGGTGAGCCCGTTACATAATTTTGACACTCATATGAAGTGTCAATAAAAATATTATTATAACTAATAATATTTGACAATATTACCTTTTCTTATAATATTGTTCCCAGATCTCCTTGAAGTTGGAGATGCCCTATCATTGGTTGGTATGGGCCATCATATCAACCACTGCGCTGACCAATGACCGATGGACGCGCGCAATGAGTGGAGGGCAAGTTGTCAACATACATAGTTGTAGTTTAATACATTTAACATAGGTTATAACAGATTAGTTTTATTAGACAGTTAACTATATTAAATACAGTTTTTTTTCCCTCTCAACTAAGCGTG